CAAGGGGGCGACTCCGGCGGCGTCAAGCGGGGGGGCAGGAAGAGGAAGAGGGATGGCCGCCGCACGGACCCTGGTGACGAGAAGGGAGAGGAGGAGGAGGGGGGAAAGACGTGGGGGGATGGGTCTGCCGGTGCACGACGGAGCGGCAGGGCGCGGAGGCCCAAAGCGCTTTTACGTTGGTGGAGGGGTATGAGGAAGGGGAGAAGGAAAGCGATGTGGAAGGGGAGAAGGAAGGGGAGGGGAACGCGGACGGGGAGGGGGAGGAAGAAGAGGAAGTAGAGTCGGAGGAGGAAGAGGAGGAAGTAGTCTAGCGTCGGAGAGGGAGGAAACGGAGCCGGGGTGCGAGGTGGTTCGCGCCGAGAAGGTCATCCTCGCCCACGAGCTTTACACCTCGGCCGCGTCTTGCTTTTGCTCAGCGTGCCGACGGCGCGAGTACAACATGTGCTTTACGAATAGCATGTATCCGGGGCAAGTCCCCGTGCTTAAAGCAGACGAAGTTGAGGAGACGGTCATTAGGGTCACTGGGGTAGATCCTGTGGTTGGAGTTGACCCCGTCCCTGGTAGCAAGAGAATATCGAAAGCAATCGTGTTCGGCAAGGAGGATTTACGTATGATAAAGAGGGTGCCTGGTACGCGATTTTTCCTGCAACAGCACATAGAAGCAGGTTGTCGGGGTACTAAGGGCGTGCTGGGAGGGTTTTGGTTGTTTTTCGGGGGGGGGGGGGTACGCGGTCCTGCCGCGTAGCAGTAAGTTTCGGTGGCGTTTCGTCTGGACATCCTGGGCAATAACACAACACGAGTGTGAGGCTCTATAACTATTATCTGGGGCGAGCTCGAAAATGTGGACGACGGATTCGTGATCCCCACCCCAAAGTTACCCTGACCTGAATTTTTCATGTCGATCTGAGCACTGTTCAAACCCGGGGATATTTAGCGGCCATCCCCGCGTTTTGCGTTTTTGCGAATTCGCCGTGAGAAATCGATAAAACTCGTTGAAACTCGGGCACCACGGATGTTTTTTTTGTTTTTCGCAGATCGCCATCATTAGGGCATGCAATGATACGATAAACAATACTTTTAGCGGGGATGGAAAGAAGTTGTCCCCCCCCCCAAAAAATAATTCGTCTTTAGCTCGGAACCCGCCATTATTGAAGGGGGTTCGTGCGCTTCAATGTGCTCTCGAAATTTACGTGAAAGTGAGATACACTACCAATGAGGGCACCAATAATGAAATATCTTTAACGCGTACACGCACAAACGTCGGCACGAGCACTCGTGTGTTGAGCACGTTTTTTTCCCGCCGCTTCTCTCCACGTTCACTTTCTCTCCTCATCGTGGACATCCTCGAATAGCTCTTCGCCATTGTAGTACAGATCGGGTATCAGTCTCTTCCCCTTTTCGCTTGAATACGAGAGAACAACGAAACGAGCATGCAACGCAAAAAACACGGCCCTGTAGGTCACGTCACAACGAACGGCAGGTAGCAGCCAATCAGCCAGTAACAGGCAGTCGGTACAGCCACAGGCGAACAACATGAATCCCGGGACCTTGATCTGGTCGAGAGCAAATCATTGCGATTTTCACGCAGCCTGATCTAAACTGTGTCCACCTCAGACTGGTGTGAGGCCTGTAGCCTGCACAAGAACTTCATGCCTCTACTGCTGTGAAAGAATGTTGACATAACAAAGAGCACGAGTTACATCCAGCCGTATCGCATGACGCGCTTGATCAATCTGCACTCAGCCTTCCCTTGACCCCAAACGCGGTTTCTTTGAGAACGCTGTGTCCAAGATAGCTTGAGTTCAACCACGGCCTCCACTCCAGCATCACACTTGACCAGATGAGGGATTGAACCCTTGGACTAGACTACAGAAATCCAACGTGGACCACTGTGTTTTAAGTCGTGCTCGTCTGCTACACACACCTCACCTAATGTTTACCCCCTCAGGTGAGCCGGCCTTGATGAAGGTATCCGTGATAGTCTAAAGCAGAACGAGCCAAACTGAGTTGTCGAAGATGAAGCGGAAGATGCTCTTGTCGGCATGGGGTAGTTATTGTTCTGGTACCTGACGCGAGAAAGAGACAAAACAAGGTCATGGGCGGCGATATTGCGACAATAGAGTTCATCTTTAGGGGAGAACTTCAACTTTGTTTGGCTTTTTTCGCAGTAAACTATACCATACCTGATACGGTATGAATGCTGGTTCCAAATATCGAGCACGGACAACCAACCGCATGCAGCCGCGGTGACAATACTCCACAGACGATATGAGAGGGCTCTCGGATTTCGTTTCGCAGAGTTTCTGTGTAACAAGAAACGTCCCCAAAATGCTTGCAACGCACGAGCCTCTTTACAGTCCCAGGCGATACGCTCGGCCGCACATTGCGAATCGCATGCCCATCTCCCCGCTAGACAGAGGACGCGACAGGGCGCGCGGAAATGCAGCCGCTATACAAACACGTGCCTTAGTGCGCAGCCGATTATTACGTTGGCGAGAAGGGCGTTGGAATAGCACGACAAAGGAAACCCTAGTGGCAAAGCCGGAACGGCCAACTCATTGTTTCCACATCAACTCTACTCTTCCGACGGCGGTTTCAAGCAACTGCCCCTCGCCTCGAGATAGGAAGGGACAGGACTATGGCCTGGTGACCGTTCGGGGTATCAACCGTTAACAGTGGAAGAGCACTCCTTAGCGACTCATAATGGTTGGAGGAGCTCCACGCCGACATCATCCACATCTACGACTACAAAGACCGCAGGAAACTATCGAAGACACTACAGCTGTACGCCTTCGACAGTCAGAAGACAGGGGTGTCACACAGAAGGACGCTGAAATTCTTCGTTCACTGGCTGCAGCCAATCCACGACAAATATATCGGAAACCACGGCACAAACTAGATGGGGAAAGGAACAATATGCGCAGAGCACCATGAATACCGCCATATCAATCCTGATTCCTCTCATAAGCCACAGTAAATGGTCCCTGGATAGTGCCGGCATGTGCCTGCCGAAACACCGCCACTATACCGGGCACAGGGGCTATTCAATCGACATTACGGAGAGATTGCTGCAAGTATCTGCCCATCTATATCCTTCGGTCCTTCGGCTTTACTCACTGATAAACCTCGCTCAGAAAGAGCACCGACTCGTGGCAAAGCGCCTTCTGAGAATAGTGTTCGAACGCGGCGGCCAGCAGCGGCGTACTCGCAATCCGCTAGTTCGACTACTATAATACCACCGAGGTCTCAGTCGCTGACCCTCGCTCTCTGCACCCTCTGGAAAGCGCCACGCCTGCTGCGGGTGCTGTTGTCGACGATCCCTCCGCAACGATGGAGGCATTGGTTGGTTCCCACTCGTTCCATGTACAGGGAGCGACGGCATCATCGGCGTCGGCGGTGGCTGCGGTAGTCACACCCCTGCCGATGGCGGCCAAGGTGGCGACATCGCCAGTGTCACCATCTCCGCCTGCTGCTGTTGTTGTGGCCTTGCCCGGGACTCCTCCAAGCTCTCCTTCCTCGAGTCTGACTTCCTCTTCGCTGTCGCCACGTGTCCGTTGCGAGCCGCCGCCTATGACTGGCGAAATCCCTGATTCTCGTCTCACCGAGCCATGCGGATTTCGTGAGGGGGGAAGGGGGAACGGAGGGTTGCGCTTGATCGATAATTCGGGTGGCTCAGTTCTGTTTGTTGGGAGCGTAGAGCAGCTCGGCCATGACGGGCCGTAGATGGGTAGAAAACGTGTTGGAAAATGTATTGTATTCTTCGGGGGCGTGCTCGCGCTCGTAAATCTGTCGCGGCATCAAGCACGCGTCACGCTCATCACGCTCAAATTACCGAACGGATCTCTTTGAACCTCCATCAAACTCTTCCCACTTCCAAGGAAAATACCCAGAAAGTTTTGATTCCTCCGCATCTCATCACTGCAATTTCCGTACGTACGTACTGAAGATCTTACCCGTCTTACTATGCTACGAGTACCCCCAATATATCTAATAGCCCCCCTGCTCGTATGAATCGTCATGCTTCGGCAAAAAACAAATTCCTCTTCACCATCTCTCCAAGACAATCAAGAAAATTCTCAAACACCAAATCCAATATCCTCCCCAAAACATTCAAGAACCCTCCAAGTCAGTCACAAGAAAAATTCCGTCAAGACATCGGCAATTGCCACATACTCTGCTTCCGTGGTGGAAGGCGTAACGCACTTCTGCGTCCTCGAAAGCCAAATCACACACCCTCCCCCACACATCTCTAGCCCTCCTGACACTGATCTACGGTCTGTCGCCTTGCTTGCATAGTCGGCATCCACAAACATCTGCATGCTCATCCCAGTCACCACTCCCCTCTCAAATGTAATCCCCATCCAACTCATCCTCCGAACGTACCCTAAAATACCGAGTGCTGCCTTCCAGCGCATCAGAGAACGGGCGCGTGAGGTTGATGTGGACTTTGCCGAACGGTACCGCCGCGCGGGTGCCACGCTGCGGCACCGGTGCCCGCCTGCCCTTCGCCTCACGCAGCCCACACACGGCCGCATCTCCCCCACCAGTCGTACGCCCTGCTGCTTGGCCGTTTCACGCATCAAGAATTCGTTTACATGGCCGGTGGAGGCATGGAACAAATAATGTCAATGGTCGGCGTGGATTTTCCTACCGAAAATGGGGAAGCACCGGGGGCGATAATCGCCAAGGCATGCGAGAGGGAGGGGGGAGCTACGGTTTGCTGCTCATTACATTCAGCATCAAAGCCTCTCAGGCAATCCAATTAATCATTCATCACGGTAAACGCGGGGGGAGGGGGTGTTGCAGAATCGCACACATCAAGCGCATCCGGAAAAAAATCACCCTGTGGGACCGAGTCTATTCCATCCGTCAGGCCTACATCAAGGAACATGCTCATATCCATGAGAGGCAAATGGTCCTGGGGGATGAGGGGGTTGATCACGACGTCACGAAAATCGCTCGGGTCAACGACGGAGGGAGAAACAATCTCAGACGATGCTACGGCAGCTGTGATTACAGGCTGGAAGTCGGCAATAGTCGTTGGCACTACATTTACGTCGACGGGCGGGAATGCACAACGCGGAAGCACTACACCGGACGTGGTTGATGGGACGCTCGAAGTCGCACTCGCAGACGAAGGTACAACACCGGCAGCGATTCCACCGACGAACTGGAAGCTCGGACTCGCACTCGAACTCGAAGGTACAACACCGGCAGCGGCACCACCGGTGGACTGGAAGCTCGGACTCGCACTCGAACTCGAACTCGAAGGTACAACACCGGCAGCGACTCCGGTGGGCTGGACGCCAGAAGTCGAAGGTACAACGCCGGCTGTTGCGACGGACTGGAAACCGGAACTCGCATTCGCACTCGAAGTCGTGCCCGCTCCTGCACCCTGTGGGAAATGGGGATTTGCCGCGACAAGGACTGTGCCAACGCTAGGCGGGGAGGCTTGGGTAGAAACACGGGGGGGGGGCATCGGGGCTGTAGGTCACAGCACTACCAGTATACTCCGGAGACAAGCGGGTGGCCAACAGGGAACATCCTACGTCGCAGTAAGCAAAGGTAAGCCTACCATTGAAGAGGCGCACGCCATGTTCGTCCAACGTGCTCTTCTGCCTACGCTGCATTTAGTGCAGGGAAACCAGATTGAATGTGATGCCGGGGACTACGTACACGTCCGACATCTGTACACAAAAATCGGTCTCGCCCGAAGGGCCGGGCATGTGGAACGCCATGTTTACCTTACCAACATATTGCACGCGAAATAGGCACCGTTACCTACTTGTATGTACTGTTTACCGGGCTGCACTGGCCTCAAGTCGAACATTTGATGGCTGCTGCTAACAAACGTGTTGGTGGCGCCGCTGTCGGCCCTTAATCTCTCTCTGCCAAAATGCGATCCGGGTTTCGTGCAGCCAAAGCAAATCCTTTACCACTATCACGCTCGCTACTTGCTACCACACCACTAGGTACGATCTCGCCTGCAGTCACAAAACGTGCCATCAAGAAGTGGAGGGAGCCGGGGGACGGTGCTGCTGCTCCGGGAGGAGCCGAGTAGGGCGGGGCATGGGTGGAGTGCTGCTGCTGCTGCGACAGCTGCGGCGGTGGCTGCTGCTGATAGTACGGTGTCGGAGGCGGGTAGTACGGCTACTGCTGCTGGGTGTAGTCCGGCGGAGGCTGTTGGTACGGTGGCTGCTGCTGGTCCCAACTCGCATACTCGCTACCATTCGCGGGCCCCCCGTAGGGCGTGGCACTATACTGCTGTTGGTGCATCACGTTTGCATGCCCGTGCGGGGGTCGCCAATTCTGCTGTTGCGGGCGAGGGAGAGCCGGGTATCCATACCGCTGCTGCGCTCCGTGGCGGCCGTGGGGTCCGTGCTGAGGTCCACCATGTTCGTGATAGTTGCTGCTGTGTGTGTCGACAGAGTGACGTAGAACAACTTGATCGGACAGTTTGCATTGCGGGACTGTCTGCGTTGAAGATCGTTGAGTAGCTACATACCATATATCAGTCCAGCAAGGAACGTTCTGTGGGAATGTTCTTCGTGGATTTACCCCGAGTGTGTTTCTTGTGGATACAGTCGTCCCCGCTTTAAAGACGCATAGCGTTTTTTTCAAAGCGTNCCATATATCAGTCCAGCAAGGAACGTTCTGTGGGAATGTTCTTCGTGGATTTACCCCGAGTGTGTTTCTTGTGGATACAGTCGTCCCCGCTTTAAAGACGCATAGCGTTTTTTTCAAAGCGTCTTTAACGCGGGGAATCGTCTTTAAGATTCCGGGGACGATAACGCACCACCCC